TCAAGGTTTGAGCACTAATTACTATTCACATCTGCGCAGACTGTTCAATTGTGAGTTACTGAGGCATTATTAGGGTTAATTCTCCTTAGCACAGAACGATTGCAGTTGGCCATCCCTGTTGTAATAGTTGGTTCTCTCTTCTCTGCCTTGTGTTTCTGTAACTGCCATTTACCGCTGCCTTCCCGAGACATGCTGTTAATTTCTCTTTTCATTTCATGTGTGCCTCTGACCTCCTGTGGATGGATAGAGCAAACAAGCATTCTTGTTACAATGTTGTTAAAAATAATAGTGTTAAGTAAGAAATGACAAAGTCTTCTGAAGGCAAAAGAACTTTAGTGTCTAATTTTCTGATTGTATTGTATTTCAGAGACCTTTCAACTTGTTTGCTGTTTCTTAGCTGGTAGCTAAGAATTCCTATTTGAAGTGCTGAGTGTAGCTGAGTGGGATGGGGCAGATGGCAAAGAGGAAGCAGTTAAAACCCTACCTACTCTTTCAAACAATGAGGCTGGCATCCTGGCCCAGATGGGTAAGCCACTGCCTGAGATGCCAGAATCCCATGTGAGTGGCAGTTTGAGACCTGGCTGTGCTTCTTCCAAAGTTCCCTGCTAATGAGCCTGGGAAAGCAGCAGAAGATGGCTCAAGTGTCTGGGCTGCCATCAGTCACTTGGAGGACCCAGACGGAGTTCTAGCCTCCCGGCTTTGGTCTGGCCGAGCCCCGGGGTTTGTGACCATTTGGAGAGTGAACCAGTGGATGGAAGATCTGTTTCTGTCTCTGTATCTCCCTCTCTCTCTAACTCTGCATTTCAAGTAAAGAAATACTTTAAAAACAAAATCTGTATCTATTCTTTGGAATTGTGTGCCAAGGACGGAGACAGAGTTAGTGTTGAGGACTCGCAGCTCAGAGCGCTGTAGCTAAGCCCGGAGTTGTGCATCGCATCTGTTCCGAGACCTTTGTTAAGGTCGCCTTCATTAAGTTCATTTTCTCACGTGGACCTCTCACATCACTTCCAGAATTCAAAAGTTGAAGATTATTGGTGTTCACCTTAGAGAGCATCCTGCCATTTTCTGTGTGTATTCACGTACACACCTCCTGAGAGAGAACCGTAGTCTAAGTCAACCTCAGTGCAGTTGCCGCGTGTACATACATGCATTGACTCTTACCTCCCAGTTCATTCCAGTTTCCTTAAGATGCCTTGCCATGTGGAAAGTCAGTACTGAAGTGAGTTCTTACCGCTGCAGTAGGCAGAGAGCCAACTGTCTTCATTTTTTTTTTTTAAGATTCATTGATTTGTTTGAAAGTCAGAGTTACACAGAGAAAAGGAGAGGCAGAGAGAGAGAAAGAGAGAGAGAGGGAGGGATGGAGGGAGGTTGGTCTTCCATCCACTGGTTCACTCACCAAATGGCTACAACAGCCGGAGCTGCACCCATCGGAAGCCAGGAGCTTCTTCCATGTCTCCCATGCAGGTGCAGGGGCCCAAGGCCTTGGGCCATCTTCTACTGCTTTCCCAGGCCATAGCAGCCACTGGATTGGAAGTAGAGCAGCCAGGACTCAAACCGATGTCCATATGGGATGCCGGCACTGCAGGCGGCAGCTTTACCCACTATGCCACAGCACCAGCCCCAATTGTCTTTTATTTTTAAAGATTTATTTTATTTATTTGGAAAGCAGGGTGACAGAGAAAGGGAGAGACAGAGATCTTCCATCTCGTGGTTCACTTCCTACATGGCCACAATGGCCGAGGCTGGGCCAGGCCAAAGCCAGGAGCCAGGGACTCCATTTGGATCTCCCAAGTGGGTGGCAGGGGCCTGAGTACTTGAATTATCATCTGCTCCTTTCCCAGGTGCATCAGTGGGGAGCTGGTTTGGAAGCAGAGAACCAGAACTCAAACCAGTGATCCAGGAGGGGATGCCAGTGTTGTAGGTGGTGTCTTATCCTTCTGTGCCACCTCAACTAGCTTAGAACCCAGGTGCTGGAAGATGCCCTTTGATTTTAGTTTATTGGGTTGATGCTTGGTCAGCTCCTTAGTTTACCTTGTCTATGCTCATGAACTTGTTATAGTAAGAGATGGCTACTGTTCTCTGGAAACTGAGTCCACAGGATGTCTTTGAGTAATGACAGCTGATTGGAACTTGCTGGCAACAAGCATATGAGAAATGGAAATGAAACGTTCACAGATTAATACATAAAGGTAAAATTGTATGATTCAGGTTAAAATAGTTTAATACTTTTAGATGACTCTATGTGCTTTCTTCCTGTGTCCATTTGGGACATTTGCTGTAGGGTTCTAAGCTTGACCTACCTGAGGTCCTGTCTCCCATTTTCTTCCTGGATTCTTCATCAACCTCCTAATCCACCCATATTAATAGTGGAACTTTGTATACTGTCCTACATTCTTGGAGAGGTCCCTTAATTTGGCCAACTGGAAACAAACAAAAATGCCTACATTTGCTGATAGCAACTGAAAGGAGAAATAGCAGAGATGGAAGGAGACATGGCTGTCAGATGGAAAACAACAGCCCTTAGGCTGAACCTAAAGGAATCCTGGGAGAAAGAGAAAGAGTAAGAAAGGGGTAACTGCATTTGGGATTTATTTTCTTAGCCCTGTTACCCTGCTGTCTTCCTGCTGTACTGAAGGCTGCAAGGGCACACTTGCACACACTTGTGTGTTTCATTGTGTGCAGCTCCTTCATCCTCGCCCAGCAAATAATGCTAAGCCATGGTGACAAAGGGTGACATCATCCCAGCAGGAGGCTGTCCTCACCCTGCTTTTACTTAGTCCTCTTCTGTGGACTCCTGGTAACTGTTTTCAGTCTGCAGCAATGCAACTGCCCCGAGGAGATGTAGTTGGATAGATAGACCTCTGTGTAATAGCGCTTACTTTCATTAATTGTCTTAGAAAAATAACTACCCCCATTTAGTGATTTTTTTCACTTACCCCATACTTATATGTGTAAAATTTGGCTCCATATGCCAGCCACGCAACTGTGAACAAACATCTCTTATCACAGAACTTCAGTGCTCACAATACCTCTGGAGTGGGTGTTGTCCTAAATTGGAAAATGAAGTTTCAGAGATGCAAAGATTAAATTTTCCAGGATCTCACAGCTTAGAAGTAGAAAATTCAAAGTCAAGTTCAAGTTCAACTCCATAGTCTGTGCTATTACTGTGCTCTTCTACTTCTAGTCCATGAATAAAGAAATAGAAATTACATATATCAGAATGTGAGCTGTGTGAATAAATCCAGTCATTGTTAAATGCTAATAGTTCATCATGAAGAAGTTTTTATTTGAAGGGCAGAGAAACAAATACAGAGTTTCCTATCCACTGGTTGATCCCATAAGTGCCTACAATAGCCAGAATTGGGCAAGGCAGAAACCAGGACTCTGGAACTTAACCTGGGTCCCCCATGTGGGTGACTGGGACCCAAGTACTAGACCATCACCTACAGTCTGTGTGCATTAGCAAGAAGCTGGAATCGGGCACTCCAGAGTGGGATGTAGACATCCCAAGGAGCATCTTAGCTGCTGCACCAGATACCTATCCTGTCATGAACTTGTAATGACTTGTTCTGTGGGCCTGAGTGCACGCTCGGCAGCTCTGCTCCCCCTCCCTGAATTAAACCTAACACAGATGTCTGACCAGCAATGATTTACGGAACCCTGTGAACAGCTCTGAGAAGCATCCTAAGCCATCCATTGCCTGCATTCGTTTTCTTCTGTCTAGCACCCACGCAAAGGCAATGCAGAAATCTGTGTCCAGTACCACGGACAGTTCTGCTTTACAAATGAAAGAAAACCTGTTGGTTTCTATCCAGGTTAATTCATTCTTTCAATAAATACATATACACCAAGCATGTGAGGAGGATGTGGAAAGCCAGACAGCCAGGAGCCCTGTAAGAGCATGAGAAAAACATAATAGAACAAGTGAAAAGATTACTAAGGAAGATTTCAGACAGTGGTCACTGCTACGGGAGTCGGATGTACCTGTGGGTATATGCAGGTATGTATACACGTGTGTGTGTGTAGGTGTAGATAGGAGAGGGTAGGTCTACAGTAGGAACAAGGTGCTAGCTTCAAATGACATGACTGGGCAGACCTCTCTGAAGAGATGCTGTCAGGCTGAGTTCCCTGGACAAGAAGAAGCCAGAAAATGAAGGGGGAAAAGCACTGTCGAAGAGAAGAGAAAACACAAAGTTCCAAAAGCAAGATAAAAACGTCATTTGTTTGAATAAAGAAAGACTGCTTTTGTGTGTGCATGAGAGCTGGGTATGGGAGTTAGGGGATGAAGTTCAAGAGGTCAGGTCCAGATGAGGTGAGTGTCAGGTGCATGGCCTTGTGGGCACTGCCCAGACACAGTTTCAAGAGCAGAGGGGGTGCTGTTCTTAAGGACAGCAGAACAGCAGGTGTAATTATTCCACCACCAAGGTAAGATGTGTGAGTTTTATTCCAGGATTGCTGTGAGCCCTCAGATAGTCTTAAGTAGGAGAATGGTATGATACGATTTAAGCTTCATGGATGTCTCCTGAAGTGACAGCTTTGTGAACATTAACATCTGGAGTCGGAGATCAGTTTTAGAGGCCAATGGAATGGTCCTGGGAAGAAGAGATGGTTGAATGGAAGTAGGAGAGAGCAAAGAAAGCTATGATGTAGGGTACATTCTGTAGATCTTGTGGACAAGACCCTCAAGGGGGTTGCCTGCAGGAGTGAAGGAAATGGAAGAACAGAAATGACTGATCAATGTTCAGCTTTGCTTTTCTGGGTAAGTTGTGATGCCACTGTGGAATGGCGTTTGAACGTGATGGAAAATGGGTGGAGTCAGTCTGGATTTCCTTGTGCTGAGCCAGAGGCTGTTACTAACACAAGCGCGGGTGCCAGGTGAGTAGCTGGAGGTGTCCTTTGCCCACTGCCTCATCCGGGACAGCTGTCCTCTGCGTTTCCTGCATGCTGCACAAAACAGTTTGAAGTGACGTTGGTATTAACGTTCCCTGTTGCTGTTCCAGGAGAGCGTAGACCTGGGGGAAATCATGTTCTCCCTGTGTTACCTACCCACTGCTGGGCGCATGACACTGACGGTCATCAAGTGCAGAAACCTCAAGGCCATGGATGTCACGGGCTCGTCAGGTAAGCTCACATCAAGGGCACATTCCCAAATAAACTAGCCTGTGTGTAAAATTATATTTGGCTATTGAATGATCAGTAACTTGGTTTTTTAAAAGTAGAGAGGTGACCAAGTGCAGTGTCCCAGTCACCTCTCTGTTCTCATTATCACTATGAAATCACTAAATCACTAATCACTGTTAGACTTGAACTTGCATCCTTGCCAGCAGCCTGAGGGACTGGAGGAACTAATGAAGTATAGCATTGCTTCCTGGAGTTCTTGAAGAAATTCTTGAAGGACATTTCTCTTGTACTGTGACAGCAGAGAGAGATGAGCCATACCACACTCCTTTACTCCTTAAGTCACTGCAGTTCTGGGAGATGATTTATAACCTGATTGTTGCTCCCCGTCTTTGTGGAGGAACGACACAGGACCCTGCACTGTTCTTTCGTCTGCTCGGCCCTCCCCGGGTTTGCTGCTGGTTCTTCCCGGGTTGGCTACCATCCCTTCCACCTCCATGGAAGGGCGGTTCCCCCTGCCACTTTCCCCACTTCCGCGGGGGAGTGGCACACCGCCGGCCGGCTCTCTCGGGGGCTGCACAGGTGTTCCTTCAGATAGATGTTCCCTTTAGATGTTCCTGGTGCATGTTGTCTCTCTCCTCCTTTATAGTCCTCTTCCACCAATCCCAACTCTGCTACCCACACGCCGAGTACACTGCTCTCCTCCAATCAGGAGCAGGTCCTGCTGTTTATTGGTTGAACTGGAGGCAGCTGTGTAGAAGCTGTTTTCTCCTCTCCCAGCGCCATATTGTGGGAGAGCAGATGCATAGAATAAGTCTTAATTCCAGTAACTTAGTCTAGTCCGAGTTGCTCCCCACACCTGATAGGTGACTGTTGGCAGAAAAGGATGTGGGAGACAAATGGTAAGAGTGGGGAGATCAGTAACTGCCTGTTGAATTAAATGCAAATGAGAAATAAGTTGAGAGAGAGTAAAGAGTATCACAGTGGAGGCATCCATAGTTTGCAGTTCCTCAGGAAAAAAAGCAAATAGCATTTCAGAAAGAGGAAGAAGGTCTTAATTCTGGTATGGAATGAGCTCTAGAACACACAAGTCAATTAAAGCAGACAAACCATAAAAGACACAAGGGACCAGTGTTAACAGTATGGCAGGTTGGCCGGTGCCATGGCTAATCCTTCGCTTGCAGTGCCGGCACACCAGGTGCTAGTCCTGGTCAAGGTGCCGGATTCTGTCCCAGTTGCCCCTCTTCCAGTTCAGCTCTCTGCTGTGGCCCAGGAGTGCAGTGGAGGATGGCCCAGGTCCTTGGGCCCTGCACCCGCATGGGAGACCAGGAGAAGCACCTGGCTCCTGGCTTTGGATGAGCATGGTGCGCCAGCCGCAGTGGCCATTGTGGGGTGAACCAATGGAAAAGGAAGACCTTTCTCTCTCTCTCTCACTGTCCACTCTGCCTGTCAAAAAAACAAAAACAAAAACAAAAACAAAACCAGCATGGCAGGTTAAACCTGTGCCTGCAATGCCAACACTTAACATCAGAGTGCCAGTTTGAGTCCTGGCTTCTCCACTTCTGCTCCTTGCTAATGCACCTGCTGCCCATATGGGAGACCAGGAAGGAGTTGCAGGCTCCTGGCTTTGGCCCAGCCCCATTCTGACTGTCATAGCCATTTAGGGAGGGAATCAGCAGATGGAAGATCTAATGCCTGTGCTTTTTCTCTCCCTGACCTCCCCTTCCTCACTCTGTTACACTTCCTTTCCAATAACTACATCAATAAATCTTTCTAGAAGGCATAAAACCAAATATGGATAGTGTGCTCACAACTGTGTAAGCATGGGGAATTTGAGAATGTATACTTGTGTTGCCAAAGTTCGCACAGAAAGGATGGGAGGGTGCAGGAAAACGAAGGGCTAAGAGGCATGAGGACCAGGTGGCTCCTTGCTGTATCTCTCAACATCGTGACTTTTGAACTCTGTCATATCCCGCCCCCTTTTTCCCCCCTTTATATCACATGATGTGATATGAAGGTTGAAGAGCAAGTGAAAAACTCCAGGGTCAATAAGTGTTGAAGAACTCAGGGTAAACAATGCACTCTGCAAATTACTATTTACTGTACACTTTCTACCATGTATGAAGAGAGATCAGATCCTGAGACAAGCAAACAGCCTCCGAGTTGTAATTAAGTGTGAGATTTCTTTTTCTTTCTCTGGGCTTTTCATCGGAGGAGCGCAGGCTTCGGGAGCACCTCCTCATTAATTCTCACAACAGGCTGCGAATCAGCCAAGGAGCCCGTAAATTATCCTTGTCACAGGCAGAGCCGTGCAGCCAAGATGTGGGGATCACACAGGATAAAGTGTGCTTCCTCGTGGTGCTGACAAGAAGGCCTGGGCCTGTGGCTCAAACACAAAAGTGCATCACAGTTCTTACTGACAACATTCTGGAAAACACCAGAAAATTCAAAAGTATTTGTGAAACATGCTCCAGGTTACCTTGTAACTTTGTCTCCCTCTGCCTACTTTTTCTTTTATGTTTTCTGAAATTCACTCCTTCATATGCTTCCTCAATTGCAAATATAATTGCACCTGCTCAAATATAATTGGACATCATTTTGGGCTTCTTCTAAGGAAATTAATTTATCATATGGAAGCAAAGCATAAGAGGTGGTGATGGTGCAGTTGGAGCTTGACCTGAAGGAAAATGACAGAGCAGATATGATTTCCACTGTCACTTGGTCACCGGATGCCAACACTACCTTCCAAGGCTATCCCTCCTTTGAATGAACAGATTCAACTGTGGAGCTTTATAGAAGCTGGTATAATTGTTGATAATAAAGACATGGGTGGGGTGGGAGGGCAAGGACCACGTCAGCTGGGGCAGAACTTGGTAGTGATTTGATCCCTTTGGCCCTGGAGCTACAGCCTTGACAGACTTCTCTGGGTGCAGCTAGCATCGTACTGACAATCGCATCAGCAGTCTTCCTGTGGCCGTCTGTAAACAAAACATCACCTGTTTACCATACACTACTACCGAGTGTGTAGTAAATGACCGTGACCGTATCCTCAAACCTCACTCCTTAACCAATAGCATGATACTTCCCATTTTAGCACCTTTCCCAGTAGCTGCCAACAATTCCAAGGAGAACGTAGATGTTGGTTGATTTCTACCCACCCTGATTATATGTAGTTGTCCAGATAGTGTGTTCCTAAATCTTTCACAAGTTTTGTCTGAGTCTTCCGAAGGATGCTAATCCTAATGTACGGAGCCCGTTACGGTGCCTTTCCTACAAAACACATGGAGTGAAAAGCGTCCTGGGATGAAGAGCCTCAGCAGGCTCTGTGTTTCCCCTTTACAGTGACTTCTCCACAGTCTGAGGCAGACACCAATTATGAAGAAAAAAAAGTCCTTGAATTTCAACTTTTGTTTTGCCCCAAAACAAACTTAGCTTGCATTTCTAATTTTCAGAAACTTTTGGATACACTCCCTTGTTAAGATAGTGAAGTCAGGGAGTGAGTGTTCAGCCTGGCTGTTAAGGTAGCTGTGTTTTACATCCAAGTACCTCAGTTGGGTTCCTGGCTCTGGCTCCTGACTCCAGCTTCCTGCTAAAACAGACCCTGGGAAGCAGCAGTGATGGCGCATGTGAGTGGCTCCTTACCACCCACTTGGGAGACCTGGATTGAGTTCCCTGCTCCCAGCTTCCATACTGCCCCAGCCCTGGCCATGGGGACATTGTATGAATGAACAAGCAGATGGGAGTTCGTGCTCACTGGTGAATCACTTTTTAAAGTTGGGACTGGCACTGTGGCATAGTGAGTTAAGCCTCTGCCTGCAGAGCTGGCATGCCACGTGGGTGCTGGTTTGAGTCCTGGCTGCTCCACTTCCCATGTAGCTCTGCTGTGGCCTGGGAAAACAGTGGAAGATGGCCCACGTCCTTGGGCCCCTGCACACGTGTGGGAGACCAGGAGGAAGCTCCTGGCTCCTGGTTTTGGATGGGCACAGCTGCAGCCATTGTGGCCAATTGGGGACTGAACCAACGGTTAGAAGACGTCTCTCTTCCTCTCCTTCTCTCTTTCAAATAAATCTTTAAAGATTTTACTAGTGAAATCAAGTTCATCCTTTTCCAGTTTATTCCATATAAATTGCTTAACATAAGAAGTCTTGAATCTTGCTCCCAGATAATTCAGTAACGATGTTCAATACGCTCCTTTCCATATAAAGTGAAAACGAACGAGTTCTCTTTAGGCTTTGAATGAATGCCTTGATCTTTAAAATTACTTTCGCACTCCTAGACCCTTACGTCAAAGTGTCCCTGATGTGTGAGGGTCGGAGGCTAAAGAAGCGCAAAACCACCACCAAGAAGAACACGCTGAACCCCGTGTACAACGAGGCCATCATTTTTGACATCCCTCCGGAGAACGTGGATCAGGTCAGCCTCTCCATTGCGGTCATGGATTACGACAGGTACGTGCGGGGTCTCTTCACTCTCTGCAGAACAGTCGGGCTGGCCTGTGGTGTGGCAGGGACACCTCTGGGAGGCCTGGGTGCAAGTGCGCACTCTGCTCCCTCTGATGTGTACCCTGGGAGGCAGCAGATGGCGCAAGCACCTGCCATCCTGCCTTTGACCTGGGCCAGCCCCAGTGATGGGAGACTTCTGGGGAAGTGAACCACCAGACGGGAGATCTCTGTCTCTCCCTCTCTCTCTGCATTTTAAATAAAATATGAAAGTAAAAAATGGAAAGCAGCAGCCATGTCCAGCCAGGTGCAGGTCCCGATCAGCTTTTCAGGTTATTTACTGCTGTGACGGTTTTCCTTTTAACTGGGAGGGAGAAATGCTTCATTCACAAATCTGTGTCCTGGGTGACAGTGTGGTTTGCTTGCAAGAGGATCAGGCATTCTGTGCAGCACTTAAGACTGCCCTTGAGATGCCTGGTTTGTAGTCCCTGGTCCACCCTCAGTTCTGACTTCCTGCCATCACAAACTCTGGGCAGCAGATGGCGGCTCAAGCACTTGGGTCCCTGCTGCCCACATGGGGGACTTCGGTCGTATTCCCAGCTGCTGTGGTGGTCTGGGGAGAGAACCAGTGGGTGGAAGATGGATCAGTCTCTCTCTCCCTCCCTCTCACTCTTCCTTTCAAGTAGCTGAAATGTTCCTGAAGTTTCTTTAAAGATAACTGTCCCAGCAACCCTATGGAAATCCCTTCGGACTGCTTTCTGTTCGCGGGAAGCCTCTTAGCGCTGCCGGGAGTTGGCGTATGCCTCCTGCTCAGTAACCAGGGGAAGTCAGGCCAGTTCCTAATATCAGGGCATCTGGCTTAGGTATCCATAAAAGGGTGACAGTTACTCCTGCTCCAGCTGTTAGGGTGAAGTGGGCCTGTGCATTTCAGCTACTTAAAATAGTGGCACACAGTGAGCTCTCACAGTTACTGTTAATCTTTTGATTGGTTGCTGAGAGAGCAGGACCCAAATAGGAAACAGGCATGTCATCTGCCCTCCTCTGTGCCACACAGTAGTAAATCATGTGCTCTGGGTGGGAATGCAAACACCACGATAAAGCAGTAAGCTGTATGATAAGGGCAGGATCAGACTGGCACCCCTCAAATCTGACAGGAGTGCATCACATGCCTCCCCATCCCCCCTGTGCAGAGCTGTCTGCAAGTTGCACAGTATCAGAGTGGTTTGCGTGTGCTCCTGGAACACGCTGACTTCTGCATGCTGCTGCTGGTCAGTCAGGTTCCACTGGGGTGAGCATGGCCAGGTGATCAGAAGCACTGTCCAGTAGTCTGCCCTGCACAGCACACAGGTGTGCCCGAGACCGGAGAGAGTACTGAAGCCTCGCATCTCCTGTGTTACTCCTTCACACGTATACCTGTGGTGAAGTTCAGCTATTGTTGTCTTCTGTCCTTGATCTATAATGATAAACAGAACCATGACAGCAATGTCCTGGAACAAATTATTAACGTCGTTATTGCTTACTTCTACAATTTCTTATTTAACAGCCAGGGGCTGTGGTTGACCATGGATACCCAAAACCACAGAAAGCAAAGTGGGGGGTGAGGAGGGACTTAATCCTGGCAGGCAGATTCTAGTGTTGAAAACTCCACGTGGTGTGCATTTCCGTTGCCCTCTCTGTCACTCGCAGGGTGGGGCACAACGAGGTCATAGGCGTGTGTCGCACCGGCCTGGACGCCGAGGGCCTCGGCCGAGACCACTGGAACGAGATGCTGGCCTATCACCGGAAACCAATCACCCACTGGCACCCCTTGCTGGAGGTGAGTGTGCGGCTCTGTTGCACTTTGCCAACAGTTGCTCTCACTTTTGTCTCTAGCATCTTGGAGTGTTCAACCTTCTTTCTGCCCCGTGGGATTTTCAAAAGCCACCAGACTTCTGGGTTTCATACTTCTTCGGACAGTATGCCCATAAAACCTGCAAGTCTGTCTATTTCACTGAGCCTGGAACCTCCCATCAGGGAGTTGTGGAGCAATCTAGTCAGTTTATTACTAACTTGAAACTGGATTTCAGTGCTGCTCTTCCGTCAGAGGGGTCAGGTCTGTGTCCCTGAACACTGCTCGGGAAATCGAACTCTTGAGATGTTATGCATTCTGCAGCAAATCCCTTCTCCCTGAACTTTCTGCTATGACTGTACAATCGTAGCCAACACATCACAAAAACTAATAAGTGCCAGCTATTAGGTGTTCAGCAGGTCATGGGACAATGTTTGCTGTTAACATAACCATTGCTAATGATTGCAGTAGCCAGAGGAGGTAGGCAGGTGTCAGCCCACTGGGCACACTGCAGCTTGCTAGTTGTTATCTCCCAAAGGCAATTGCTAGGGCCCCTCGCAGAGTCTGAGTACATGATTTATGTGACGTCATTTGTTAAAAGGTAATGCAGGTTCACAAAAGGACGTGTAACAAGTGGGTTTTTGGCAAACCAATAAAAAGAGCAGTGTTACTGCATGGTCATTGAATGATTCGTCTGCCATGCAGATAAGACTCCGCTTTTGGTCCTGGTACCAGGGCTCGGCGTGAAGAATGGGAGAGGTTGTGCAGTGCAATTCACTAAGTATCAGTGGTACCAGACTCTGATCTCGGCTTAGTTGCAAAAACGTGACCTTCACTGTTACCTGAACGCTGGAGTAACTGGGTGCGTGGACGCTGCTTGTTCAGATGACAGAAGGGCTGACTTGGCTGTGATGACTGTTGACAGAAGCGTGTTCCAACTCTCTGTCGGACTTTGTAATATAAATCGTACAAGATAGAGATACCCATGAGTATTTCAGAAGTACAAACACCAGTTCTAAACACTCAACAAGTCCTGGAAACTTTTATTCACAGTGGTACTGTGTAAAATATACCCTACTTCTTACTGTATATTTTCCCAGCTTTTTTTCTATTGAAGTTTGAAAAGGAAACTTTACTCTTCTTTCCAGATTCTTAGAAATAAAGTTGTGCTAGACTGACCAGACCTGTGGGCTCTAACCCCTGCTCCCTGAGCTAATCCTGCACAGGTCACTTGCTGTAGACAACAGCACTTCTCGTGTGTAGTAGAAATATGACTGGCTGCACCTGTGACGTCCAGGGGTGACATCATGGGAGGAAGAAACTAACTGGGAGAGGGAAGATGCTGTGTGGGTCAGGGTGTATTTATAGCTACACTTAGGAAGCAGTTAGGCACTTACCTGATGGAGAGGAGCTGAGGAGGAGGTAGGTGTCTGTGAGAACCTGTGAGCATGTTTCAGTCACAAGATGCAAAAGCACATCAGCCACCGTGTGGGCAGCAGCCCAAGATCCCAGATGCTTCCTGGTGACGAGCAGCAAGGTCCAGGTGCATCTCAGAAAACTCTTTGCTGGAGAAAATACAGTCTCTCACCCCTGCCGCATTATCCTTGTAGCCAAATAGCATATTGGACTGGAAACCTAGGAATTCGTTAGGTTTTAAGTGTAGGAAAAACATCTGTCATTGTCTGTACTTGCTAGGGAAGGGATGCATCGTTGGAGACAAGGTAAGTTGAACCTAAAGCAGGTACTACTGCATAAGGAGAGTTTGTTTTCCTGTAACTCAAGTATTTTAAAACTCTCCACCTATCGCAATCTTCCTCCTCCCATTAACTGTCCTACAACTCAACACCTGCCTTGGTGCAGCTGGGGTGCAGTAGCTGATGTCCAGAGCTGCTTAGTGCTGCTCACCAGTGACTACTTCAGTCCCAAGCAGGCATCGGTGCCATCTCTGCACACGCCTGCCGTGCTCTGTCCGCTCCTGCTCCCTGGGAGGCTCAGCTGTGAGGGGTGGGGGCCGTGTGTTCTCTTCAGCAACCTGAATATTGCGGGTACATGAACCCTACTGCAAGGGAGCAGCCGTTCCCCACTGTGGCCGATCGGTTACTGTGAAAATACTGTCTTTCAGTTACCTGGCCGGGCCACCAGTTTTGATAGTCAAGGATCCTGTTCTTCTCCCAAACCACCTTCCACACCGTAATGCCTCCAGCAAGACCTTGAAACAGGAACCGGCGATTGTGCGCTCACTGGACGAGAAAATGAATGGGAGGTTTGATTTGCTCATTTACATATGTCGATGAACAATCTTATTGTGCAGTTTTTCCATGGGAGTGTGTGTGTGTGTGTGTGTGTCACTTTGAACATTGTATACATTTTTACTTGAATACAGGTAGTCCTTAGTTAGCTAAGGCGTTTTATCTTTCATGGCATTTGCCTATTAGCACAGTGTTTGAAGATGGTGTAAATCTTTGCACAAAGAAGTCTTTTTTAAGGAATCCATGCTCATGCTGCTGTTTTGATTTTGTTACAAGTGTGTGTATTTCCAGTTGTGCCCATGGTTATACATAATCATTAGTGGAGACTTTGAACTTAACTTACACAGTGTTAAATCCTTGCGCATTCTTTCCTAGATGAAATTTGGTTCTGCCAAACTCAGAACTCTCTGAAGCTTGGTTTTTAAAACTCACAGGGAGAACTATAAACTTACAGAATCACTTTGAATACTAACTTAAAGGAGTGGTGTTTAGCAGCTGGGAAAAACAGGTTGAGCCATTTTGGCTACAGTTTTTTATACTCTCACTTACATGAGCTCAGATACCTGTTGCAGTTTATTCGCAAGTTTAAAAATGCCAGTTAATTTCCAGTGTAGCATTGATATTTCTAAGTGAACTGAAACAGAAGTTCATTTTTGCATGATTGTAGTGTGGCGTGTGCGTGTTGTGACACGAGCCATCACGTGTATGCTATGTTTCTTATATTCTACACCAAAGGTACACAGAACTGTGCGCCTCTTTTTCATTGTACGTGGGAATGGTGATTCAGACCACGTCAGATGCTCATCCCTGCAACTGGCTGTTTTTTTCAGCAAAGGATGAGAGACTACAGGAAGGCCCAGTACGTAGTGCAGCTGCAACATTTAAGGAATATCAGCAAACTCTGTCTGCCCCCAGGGAAGGCAGCAGTCTTTATGAAGACAGGGACCGGCCCCACGCTGTCAAACTATGCAAATATTTTCAAGAGGCAGAACTTTGTATCATTTCCGGTCCAGGCCCTGTTGGAAAAAATCTCAAGCTACTATAGTGTTAACTTTTGAGATGTGTGGTACATAGAATATGCTTGAAACAGGCATGAGCTAAGATACAAAGTTAACAAAAAGGCCAGAAGATTTAGAATATAGAAACACGTGCAATCAGGAACAGAAAATGTTACCAGAAATTACGCATTTTTCATAAAATGCCCTCTTTCTAAACATTAACAAAATTTAAGCCTTGAAATTGTGTCTGTCGGCATGGCTTACAGTGATGGAATTACTATTGTAAACATGCAAATATTTTATTGGTGAACATCTGGAAGGCAAACAGTTCTCCTTCAGAGTTTTCAAACCTCCTCTAGCATCTTGGTGAAGACAAGTATTCCTCGCTACCCTCTCTTCCATAAAACTATAGGAGGAAGCTGTCTGCAGGTACGTGGCTGCCACTGGGCCGGGCAGCATCAGGGAGTGACACTCCTCTGCCAATTGGGAGGACCAAAGTTAAAGTGTACTAATTATTTTTACCCCAACACACATTTTAAAGACCTTACTCATCTCTAGAAGTGTCTGTTTCATAACTAGGAAAAGCCAGGGCTTGTGATGGAAAAATGGGAACCATCAGCCCATGGGGGGAATTTAATATGAAGAATGTAGATATTTATAAATATTTTTAAAAGTTTTAAGAACTACAAATTTGTCTGCTAGGAATTTGAGCAAACTCATCCTGCCAGGATATATGTTAATCCCAGAAAGAGAAAGGGAAGGAGATTCACACTTACTCATCGTTCTTTTAAGAATGACCAAGCAGGAATGTTAAACCAGATCATGGATATTTTAAAAAGGTTAGTAGGGCCTTTTAATTCACCACTTCACTCTTCACAGCTCCTCTTCGTCCATACCCTTACGAGCAGTCTTCCTCTGCTCCTGACTGAAGAGAAGTGTTGTTAGTGGCAGTATTTGAAACAGGATGCGATGCTGGACGCAGCTATGCATTAATCACAGGCCTGGCAGCGTGTGCGGTCCTCTGCAGGGACTTCCCAAACGTGAGCTAAGCAAAAGCAGCCAGGGTTGCTTTATAGACTTAACACACTGCTCTTCTTTTCCTTTTTTTCTGGAGGAGTAGTGGCTGAATTGTTGCCCCATTCACTAAGAAGCACAGAAATGAACAAAGTTAATATGAAAAGAACATTAATTTTGTAGAGCCCTGTTTCCTGTACTACACTTTCTATGTACAAGTCACCATGTAAATCCGATTCATGTCCTGTGCAGTCACAGATACCCATAGGAACAGTGCCAGGGGATCATGGATGGGGATTTGGGGATGCAAAGCCAGGCACACACTTTGTCATGCAGTTGTGGCAAGTGCGTGCATGGTCTACTCACTGCAGGGAGATCGCCGCTGATCAATTCTGACTCAGGTTTTCTATCAGAGCAAATAGCTTTGAACTTTGAAATTTGATTGACATTTCCAACTATATTCTCCAGAAATGGTTATTACTTAAAATTTTTTGCAGACTAAAGTGCTATCAGTCTCTTATAGCTCTCAGTTAATAAATAGTTGCTGCAAAAATGAAAAAAAAAATCAAATTTCCATTCTTGTCTTAACTTTAATGGACCCCAATACGCTAAACACTCAACACGTGGCCCTTTTTTTCTTTTACTTATGATTAAAAGAATGCATATCATGGAATTGAGGTTTTCTTTTCCTTGTGGGCCACCTTCATTATGATTATAACCAGGTAACTTAATTACCTGGAAAACACTGGGGGTAATAAGGATTTAAGAAAGTCCTTCAGTCCCCACTAAATCTAAAGGAAATGAGAAGATCCGTTACCTGCAATAGTTCTTGAAGCAACTGCCCGTGTTCTGGGGTACTCCAAAGGGTGGTGACTTTCATGATCTTCAGACTAACAAAAAATTGCTGTCAATAAAAAAATGCTTCAGAAGAACAAAGTAAAATAAAGAAGTAAAATCCACATAGTTAGGTGACAATGAAACCAACATGTTGAAGCATGTAGAAATAAAGTTATTGAGAAGCAAAATCAAAGTAACTCCTCTCGCTTGGCTCAAAAACCCCAGTACAGAACAGTTAATACTCAGCGACACGGCTCAGGATACAATTCATCTGAACCTGCTGTATTCACTCACAACAAAAGATGAATTTATATTTCAGGTGGAAAATTTAGTAATTAAACCTAATGCTGTTTCCAATACATTATCGATGCCCTTTTAGATGAGAAATCGTTCAGATACTGCTATATTTACTCAGTGTTAATTAAAGTGAATGGTAAGTTAATTAACCATTAACGGCAGACAAGTAATCCAAAAGATATGTATTTGAACAGTGGCAGTTAATTAAAATTCACCTTTTCTTCTCATCAGAGTAAAAACTTTGGTTCATTGTCACTCTGTTCACCGTGAAGATAATGCAGGCTTGGGTTATGCTACAGGAAAGAAAGCGCCAGCTCTGGAGCAGGGGGTGGGGGCTGTAATGACTTGCTGAATGCAGACAGAAGAGCTAAGCGGAAGTTGAGCAGAAAAGACAGGCTTCCTCATGCCTGCAGTGATTTCAGTGTACTCCTGTCAGGAGGAAGCACCTGCCGTAGTTGCATTTTCACCTACACCGATCCATCAGAAATGACTTATTGCCATACAAATAAATCAGTACTATCTTAATCTCAGAAATGACTTCTAGACTCAAGGAACCATAGAAGCACTGCACAGAACTATGCCTGATCGTGTGAACAGAGTTTTCTGCAAAAATGTGAGGGTGAGCTCCTGCTGTGCAAAGTACCTGCTATTTACCGTTCAGAGTGTCAAGTTTCAGTTAGCCAATTTAACATTGTTTTGGTTAACACAATTTACTGAGTATCAGTGCATATTCTGGACATGTGTCAAAAATTAAGAAACATCTCAGGATTATTAGGTGAGTGTGTTGGATGATCATCCCTTTCTAATTTGTTCATCTCCTAACCTAAAGATCAGTGCCGGGAGTTACACTTGACTTTGATTTGTTCGTAGAATAATGTTTGTACATGCAGATGATAGCTACTCATGGGTCCACAAAGTGGCCACAGACTCATTCTCTGTACAAACTGCATGGTTTAAATCAATGTAGATTATTGTGTAACTTGTTGTAGATTTTTTTTTTCCTTTCAACATACCCCTTACACTTTCTACTGAACGCAGTACCCTCCTGTAGGAATAGTGTCATAAATTCTGTCACTTGATAAAATAAGCAGGTAGACCAATTCTAGTGTTAAATACCGACACTTGTAGTTTGTGTACTGAACAGACTCCAAACCCAGTTGGTCATTCCCATTCATTGGTCATTACCCATCCAACTGAGAGAAGCAACTGGCTCAACTGCCAAATACCGAGACGCTACCGACTACGAGGAAGGGAGCCTTCATCAGAACCAAAAGCTAAGTCCGAGTAGAGCAGAACTGTGTCCTGTGGTAAAAGGAAGCATCCTCCCTACCTGGCAGGAGCCACTGAAATTCTTCTTCACTTCCCACACTGAACAATTTGGGTCCATAATATTTGATCATTTTTGGTACTCTTCATTGTTCATAAAGTGATTTTTTAACTGCAGTTTGTGACTTCATACTTGACCATTGTTCAAATCGATATCTTTGACTTCCGTATTATAGAATTCTAAAAATCTTTTGAAATCCGTGTTTCTGGCTTTTGTACGTGGTAACCAGCCATTTGCGAAACTTGACAGCATATAATTGTATTACTTAGAACAAATGTTTTTGCAGCCACCTGTAAAAGATGTTACACACTGCAGAATTTTTACAATGTCTTCTTTAGAATGTGTGAACATATTTGTCAGGTTCAGATGAATTATGTAACAATGAAACCTCAAAGCTGTTAAGAAGCATAGTTTATGATTACTTTTGTAAAAGAAAATGGAAAAGCACTTGAAATAATTTTACTGTTTCATATGTATTTTGAAAAGAAATAAAGTGATTATAAATTCTGTTTGTCTGTTTTTGATTTATGTGTGAAAGGTCTGTTATTTTTTCTTGGCCAGACCTTGTGTTGGCAGTCATTACTTGTGTAGATTTAATCATTCATCAATAGTTGAACTGAAGCACTCAATCTACCTTAAAGCTCTCCTATGATACATCCAGCCCAGGGAGGGGAAGCTGTCTTCATGATGGGTAACTTCGTAAGCATCGTGCTTAGCCCTCCTGTAACGAAAGCTTAATGAGAAAATGTAAGACATTCATTTCATTAAGAACTGTGACAGAGTAGCTTCACATACAAAGACTGCTAGACCCAGAGAGCATTGCTTTGACGCTTAGATGGACAGCACATGGCATTCGTCACAAGGGGCTAATGCCATGCTGACTCACTGCAAGGGAGACCCAGCCCAAGCTGGCTGAGTGGTACAGAGCAAGCCCCTCTGCACGGTCTGACCACCCACAGACAAGGTGGAGCAGCAGGCTTCTGGGTGGCCGGCTCCTACGCGGGGTTGGCTGTGTCCCTGGGGTGGGCAAGGGTGGGGGGAGTGAGGTTCTGGTTTGCGGGACCTGCGTGGGGGCACACGAGAAGGAAGGTCAGAAAGAGGCTTTGCGTGGGAGCCCCTTGCAGACACTCTCCCTGAGCACGCCCCAGTGCCCTGCTGCAGGGTGTCATTTTATATGAGCCGTCTGTGTCACAGTTAATCAAATTACTGGAATTATTTCCATTAAGAGGTAAGGCAACAAGTGTTAAAAGCAGTCAATAGTATTCACATAAATTAAGATACATGTAAAAGTTCATGCAAAGTGGTACTTTAGGTTTTTGTGCAAAATATTTTGCAATCCATGTAACTTTCGTAATACTCAAATGTGCTTTACCTGATGCTCATCCCCCTCCCCGCAAGAAGAAGAATTCCAGGCCCCTAAACCCCTAGGCTTAGCAGGGGATCCAGCTCTTAGCTGTTAAACCAGACACTTGGGTTACTTGTTTGTGTCAAAGTTATTTTTATAAGAAATACAGGCGTAGGAACTAGTCTTAGGCAATCAGCCGAACAGTGACAAAGAAATCACAGACGTTGACAACCACATGCTGTGTACTTGGAGTAATTGCTTATAAAAACAATACAGCTCCTAAGAGAAAACAAGAAAATGAACCTGTGCCTCTTCTTCCTGGAGTGTAGGACAGAGTCCAGGATCCGCCTTTCGTGTCCTTGTCTGAGTCCCTGCATACAGAAAGCAAGGAACCTCAATGCATTCCAGCGTGCATCTTAAAAAGCAATCAAGTTGCCACTTTTCCAAACTTAGTAGTATCACCAAATTTCTCCCTGTAAAGTGTTTATATTCACATGCACTGACTGAAGATTTTTATACCCACTAATGACAGATCAGTTTCCAAATGTCCTGGTGAAGAGTTGGCATTATTACTTGAATCTTTGCCAACGTTAACGTGACAAAAATGATGACTTATTAGTGTTTGAATTTCTATTTCCTTTTCCCCTCTAGTGGAATTGATCAGTTTTTGCATACTTATGGGCAATTTGGGTCTCACTGTTCAAGTCTTTTTCCCTCTATCCTGTTGGAATTTTCTGCTTTCTTGATTTTTTAAATTCAGATAAATTCTCCCTGTGATTACTTCTCAAACTATGCACAGCAGAAGGCATAATATTAGGTTACAATCCATACAGGTAATTTAGACATGAGTGAATTTATGTATAATATATGTGTGGATAAATGTACAGCAAAGTGCAAGCAACAATCATTTGTAGAAAAAGCATCAATTGTCTTGAGAATTTCCAAAATGACTTTGGGCTGTAACCACTGCTGTGTCTGATAGAAGTACAAATAATCCTCTTTGTGGATAATCCATTATTTATGCTATTGTTCAAAAACCTTTTGGTAACACATTGGAACAGTTTTCTTTCC